CGGATTCATAGACTAATTCGATCTAAATGAGTACTTTGATTTACATATATAATATCCGAAGAAAAAAAGAGAACTCGTATGAACTTTAAAAGATTAAGTTTACGTACTTATCAGTTCCAATTCTTGTTACACGTACTTCATGCCATTTTCCATCAGCTAATTTTGTTGATTCATCACTAACTATTTGTCGTTTACCAAAACCAAAATCAATAAATAATGCAAGTATACCAGCTCTTAAACCAATTGCAAAATATTCATTTAAACCTTGTGCATAACGATATAAAATAATTCCATCAGGTACATATGAACGAAATAAAAAATAAATATCTAATCTGCCATGATTCTTATTTTGATTTTCACGTTCAGAAAATGCTATATAAGATTTCGGTGTATCAATTGTAACTAAATTAAAAAATGCTACACGATAACCAATAATAATATGTTGACTATCATATTGAAATCTTGTTAATTTATGTTCTTTTTGTTTTGTTAAACTTTCAAATAGATGTTCATCATGAAATGTCAGATCACTCATATAACCAATAAATGGTTGAAATATATCTGAACTTAAACGACGTGTATCACCAACTAATAATGCATTTATATTCCAACTTAATACAACATAAGTAGGAATTTGAGCTAAGAAAAAAAAACGAAAAAAAACGAATTCATTTAAAATATAGATTTTAATTTTTACATGTTCGACTATCATTATCAACAACAACAGTAAATATTCCATTTTGATCTATTTCAAATTGTAACCAATGCCAATTATCATTATTTATATTTTTTCCACATTGAATTGTCTATAAATAAAACAAAACTAGATATTTCAATGTACAAATTATCGATAAGTCAGTTTCCTTAGGTTATATATATATAAACCTTGAAGACAGGAAAAAAATAACACTTCATTCTTTCTTTCTTTCTTTCTTTTTGTTCGTTCATCAACTCCTGAGCGCATCATTACTAAGAGAAATATCATTATTATAATGCGTGGTTATTTCCCTCGTTCTAGGTTATCATTGTTCCGTGTCTAGTGTCAGATGGATTGTTAATCAAGATAGAAATAGAGTAGAAAAAAGACCGAAATGAAGGATAGAAAATGCAAATCGTCATTGTATTGTCTTGTTAGTTGAAGCGTAAATGCCTAGAACATTGAAATTAATGAGAAAAGAGATTAACATTGTCTTTCGGACGGAAATGTTTGAAAATGAGAAAGATGGATGAACACATTGCTATTAGTTTTTCATTCTTTTAAAAAAACAATTGTTTGCAGGTAGTCAACTTACAGTGACAGTTGATAGAACTTTTCTTTCATCTAATTGAAGGATAGTTATTTCGACTTTTCCATTTGAATGTTCAATTATAATAAACGGAGTGATTAATAATGAAGATTTACGATGTGTTAAGGAAAGAAGTACACCATTTGATATTCGACCTAATGTGCGGAAACGTACAGATAATCGTAATGGATAATCAAGAAATTCTTGATAATGATAATCAATAAATGCTGAAGAATTAAATGTTATTGCTATTGATTCAGTTGAACCTAAGGAGAAATAAAAATACTTAACATTAATTAAATACATAAATAGATAATATATATATATACTCGATTGAGATTGTTCTTTTGTATGACGTTTAATAATTGTCTGATAACAATTATCTGTTAAGATTTCTGTTGAATTTATTATTTTATTATTTGATACTGATGAAAATATTAAAGATGAATTGATTTCATAACTATCTATTATGAGTTTATTCAATGATGAAAATAATAATTGATTTCTTTCGTTTTGTTTTATATTAATAATATGATGTTCATTAGAAGTTATAATTGTCATATGACATTGTCCTATTGTAAAACATCGTGGTGTAACAGATGTTGTTTTATTCTTGCCGAAAGCATTAATAACAAAATGAATAGGAAGTTTTGGACACCACTAAATCAAATGAATAAAAAATATGTTTCATTATTTTTTTTTTCTTATACAATTGAATCTTATTTCATTTTATTATATTTTCAATCAAAAATGATAGACTATAGGGAATAGAAACTAGTATAATTATTATTATATTTAGTTCGTAGGTGGTGTTACTCTCATTGTCGTCGAGTGGTTACTTTAGATGTCTGAATTACTTTCCCCGCTTTCTTTTGTACATCATAATTATCGATAGAATGAGCGGCAACTATTAATGCATACTACCGGTAAGGTGATTAACCCAATATGTATATATATATCTTTGTCATTAGTCTAAGAATATATGTCTTAGTTTTTTTATAATACTAGTAAAGAGAAAATATTAACAATCATCTCTTTTCTTTTCTTTTTGTTTCACATTGTTATTCTGTTAAGAAAACACATTAGATGATATTTACATGTTGCTAATATAGTTAATAGTTAAAATGCCTCAAGCATACATTGAACAGATTGAAAGCGAACATCATTCGTATAAAATTCTCTTTTCTCCTTTTAAAATGAAAGTACCACATGTAGTTTTCTTTTTTTTAAAGAAAGTATATGAAGATGAACTTTAATATTTAATAAGTAAAATTATTTTTAAGTAGTATCTATTATGATCAGTAACGAATAGTGTCTCGAATAAACATATAATGACAAATATTAATGAATATATCATCTTGGTATATATCTATAATCGTGAAGAAGAAAAGAAGAAGGAGAGATAGTGTGCGTTATTGAGAAAGAAATAACCGACTGGGGACTCCTCCCCATCATCACACCTACATGAACTTACTTATCATATATAAAAATAGAACTATTTATATGTGCTTACCTGCGTATTTTGACCATATATGACAAAGATGAATGTAAATATCAATACAAAATGATAGTATTGCATAGTTTAAATTGTAGGTCGTTGTCGTTTTTTAATTTATAATTGAATAATCATTTCCGATGAATGTTGCATTTCTATTTCTAAATATTAGTAGATAGATATTATATATACAGAGAGAGAGAGACAGATACACATATAGAAGTACAAGAAAGAATATGCCTAAGGATTTTTTATTGAGTTCACAATCATTGAAGTATGTTTATTCAGTAGTGTATTTATGTTATGATAACGGTGGAAATAGATCGATCATCGAAAAAAAAACAACAATAACATATTTGACAAATCTATACTGAGAACATCTTATTCTTCCTTTCGCTCACTCTTTCTGTACGTCAATTATCTATCGGCAATGGAAGTATCGTCATCTCTTTTCTCTATGTTGTTGGGTGGAACCGATGAAAAGAGCCTCTCCATCTTTTTGTCATCAATGTAGACGCATATAAAAAAAAAGAAGCAAGCACAGAGAAAGAGTGAGTGCGTCTTCTGAGCGTTCTCCTTTCTTTCTTCATGATTTTTTTTTCTTATGCTTATTTTCTATTACAATTTGTACTACTTTATGGTATGTAAGAGATATATAATTGTTGATTAACACAAAAAAAGCGATGATGACAATAATTAAAATTAAATCGAATGAAAAACTACTTACATTTTTTATAAAAACTCGATCGATTAATATAAATTTTATTGTCTCACAAATGTGTATATATGCATGTGTGTATGTGTGTGTGTTCAATGAAGAGAGAAAAAGAAGGGACGAAGAGAAATAGAGACACAAAATTGCCTACATATTGCGCGCATATCTATCATTATTCTCCTCATCTCTTTCTTACACACTGAAGTAAGTGTATGTATATGTATATGTATATGTATATACACGTGTGTGTGTGTATGTAAAAGAAACAACGATGAAAGAGGCTCAACTGTGTCTTAGAGGTAGAGCTAGATTAAATGATAAAATATATTCTCTCATTCTGTCTTAAGAACAACAATAACAATATTGATACAGTTCGAACAAGTAACTGACCAGCCCACATTTAAATTTTTGTTTGAAGTGAATAAAAATATGGATTTAGTCTATTCTACTCTCTAATTCTGATTGTCCGATTGATAAATAGTTAAGAAATATGCATAGTGTAACCCTCCTTTACGTTCAAGTCAAAAGATCACAAATAGGCTGAACTGATTGACGACAGGTGCTAATGTACCGTGCTACGAGGATGAATGGTAAGAGAAACAATGTTATAAAACACTCTCTCTCTCTCCCTCTACTTCTATGTCTGATAGTCTTCAAACGTTCAACTAGCCCCGCGGGGTTACATCCTGTTTCGACGCCAATTATCGATTGCGTGCTCCAAGGCGAATAAACGAGGAGGACGCGTGTGGCGACCAATTCGATTAATATGCCGATGCATCTCGCGTTGTCAATTCGCGCTCTATCATCGTAGTTATCGCATATACACGAACACTGTGTTAATAGTTTCGTCATAATTTATTTTAGATTTTCTTTATAAAATCAATGAATATAATGAATTGCTGTACATATGTACAACGAATGATCTAAGTCAAGGGCGTTACTTTAAATGAACAAAACATCGGCAGGATATCTTCAGCTGCTCCCGCATCTGGTCAACTTTGTCGAATGTCTATGTAAGAATGAATAGAGAAGAAATGTGGGAGTTTCATTCATAAGAATAGATGCCGTTTAACTGACCAACATAGTCCGATGTAGTCGTTGAAATTAAGGATCAATTTACAATGAAGAGAGAGGGAGGATAAGAGAGAGAGAGAAAGAAACGTTTTTGTTTGCTATGCATCAACGACGGTTGCCTTCCTTCCGTACAAATTACAGTGTATGTTATATAACAAAAAGACAGCAAAAAGAACTACATTTCAAAAAAATCGATAAGAAAAGAACGATTCGCTATCTATTTATTACATCCTTTGCGTTAACTGACCGATTAGAATTCTCTAACAAAGAAAACGAATGATGATGATGACGATGATGATGATGACAACAACAATAAGAGGATGCCTTGTAATACAGACAACCTATTAGTAATACATTCTCTGATTGCTGTTCATTGATCAGGGTTAAAGATAGGAATATGTAGAACAAAAAATGATGAACAAGGTTTTATTTCCATGTTCTCCACCTTTTTCTCATACACATTAATATTAAAATAAACTTAAAAAAACATAATCGTCATCTATATATGCATATATATATACATAAATATAAACATAGTGACAAGTCGATGTTCTTATTTTCTTTATAACATTGATGCCATCATCAACCATTTATACTATCTCAAGGCAATGAAACAGACGTTGCCTTTTGATTATTATCATTTTCAATACTATTAATGCTGTTTGCATCATTCAATCAATAATCATTAAGCTATAGTCTTTTAGAAATCACTTACGGAATTTGCTATCAATCGATGAATGAATGAATGAATGGGTGTTAGAAAAATAGACTTGATTGAAACAAAAACGCGAAAAAAAAAGAAGGAAAAGTGTATTACGCGTCATATTTATATGGGTAAATGATAATAGCGATGTTGTATCGATTTTTTTCTCGCATTTTTGTATTCCTATTATACTTTGTTCATTATTATATTCGACAACGATGACATTGTCATAGGACAAGTCACGGCCAAACAAGAACAAAAGCGAAATCAAACGATGATTGAACAAAAAAAAACATGTGTGTATATAATGTATATATATATATATACATAGATGATAAGAAACGGATATTGAACACGATCGAAAAAGTAATGGATAATGTGTATCTCATTGTTAAAAAAAAAGATTGTAAAAGTAAAAGCTAAGGAAAGAAATAAAGTGCCTTTGCGTGAGCAATCGACATTCATTACGCTTATTTGTACATGATGATCGAAAAGAGACTAAGAGACGTTCAAACAGCCTTAAAATCAATTCATTCAATTCTTTCCCTCCTTAGCCTACATATATATATATATAGATATATATATATATATTATCAAGAAAAAAGAGAAAAGAAGGAACTCAATTGGCAGAATGGCTAGAACGATGCAACAATGAAATCATCCTATTATTATTCAAAACTAGAGCAGTGATGGTATGCCGGCTGCTCCGTCTTCATCATCTTATTTCTTATTCTTCTTGTTCTTCATTTTCTTCTGAATGCCCAATGCAGCCTTGAAAATTACGCATACATACACACACACACACAGCCGTTCACCATTTGTTACAAAATATACATAACGTTAAATGAAAGAATAGATGATCGATGTGCATATTTATTTCGTATCTATTTAGATATATATATGTAATAAGAATACGAAACCAATATCGAAACGATTGATCAATCGAAGGTTGTAATAATCTGAGAATAAAACCTTCTCTTGGGACTTAATCATAGTATCAAGATTTCTTTTTTATTGTAATCGCTGATTCGAATACTAAATTATTAATTAAGATTATTCTAATTGAAAAGAAATTTTTTCATCTAAATAAACGATATAATAGAATTATTACAATGAATAACAAATATAAATTTGATGTTTTTATAGTTCGATTTTTTGTTTTATTCTTAAACAGTAATAAGATAGATAGATATTTATATATTCAATATAGTTTAGCATTATTATCAATCAAGATTTTTCATATGTATATTGTAATATGTCACATAATGTGAGCGTGACTAACATCCGCTATTTGATCATAAATTTCTGTTGCAAATCAATTTCTTATGAGTAAAATTTATTCATTACAATAATAGGAGATATTCATCAAGAAAAATCGAAAATTATATTTTATTCTTTGAACTGTCACGTCTAACGATTTGATTTAGAAATCTAACTTTTTTTCGATGCAATTTATTAAATAATTATAATTGATGTATTTATTGTTTCCTTCAAGTCAATCATAAACATTCAATATAAATCAAGGTACACTAATTGTAAAATAATATGCAATAAACAGGTGAGATATTTGTATTAAAGTCAATGTATATGTCCAAATGATTACACACGTCCTTTTTTCTTGATTTCATTGTAGTGATAACACAATAGACTTGACTTTGATGAAACAATCAGTACGGTTTTTAAATAAATATTTGTACATCTTTTTATTCGTTGATTTATCAGTCAAATTCCTATTTTATTCAACATCAAATAGTCTATAATAAGATGTACTATATGAACATGAAACAAAGAATAAGCTTTTTAATAAATTAAAATGAGAAAAGGACATACATGAAAGCTTATATACAAAAATAAAACAATATGAATTCATCTGAGTATTTACGACTTCTACATCGCTTCACATATTTTGTACTTTAATAGAATATTATTCCTAACATAATTATTTCATTGATTAACGATAAAATAAACAGAAGAAGAAGAAAAACTATTAGTATGATTTTTACATGATTCAGTAATTAAATCTTTTATAAAAATTCTGAATAAAAAAATCGATTTAAAATTTCAATATAATAGAAAATAAGGAAATAGACTCATGCTGAAACATTTACTATTGTTTGTCATGATGTCGAATTGATTAAACTTGCACATAAGCCTGAATTATTCAGTTGAAGACAATAAGTAAAAAGATCAACACACATTTCTTGATCAATTCATCGAACACCTTAAATAAACAATATATTATTAAATATAAATGGTATTGAATGATATTTACTAGTGTTATATCATTTTTATTGATTGTATTATAAACACAATGGGTAACAAATTTCATCGCTCTATAAAAAAGAAATTTAGTCTTGGTAGAAGATGTTTAAATTAATTATCAATTTTATCTAAAGAAACAATAATTTATGGCGATAAATAATCATTAGAATTTTTATATTTGGTCTGTATTGTATATTATAACAATGTGTTTGCACTATGGAATATTCTGTAGAAAAATTGAGGCAATTTTTAAGTCTTAAAAGAAAAAATTATTGTTGTTATATATAGTCGTAGAATCACATTTAGATAGAGTTAGATGATATAGAAAATCTTTTGTACTTGGATCGATAAGTATTTCATGCTAACATTATATCAAAGATTATTTATGATATCGAAGTAATATATACATACGGCTATCGCATCTCTTTGATTTGAAAAAGTATAATATACTTAAATCATTTATTGGAATTGTGCTCTAAAATGTATTAGAAATAATGATAATACGAACAAATTTTTCTTTAGTTGATAGTTCACTCTATGATTGAAGTGGAACAAACATGTATACCTCGATTCTTTTCATGATAAGTTATATCATTATTTTCAATCAAGATCAACAAGGCTTCAGGCAAAAATCAGTATATTACTTCCAGACTATTCATATAAAAATAATTAATTTATTTTTACTTTAATTAAAATATTCATTGAATCACGTGTATCATGTAAACGTTTAAATTTAATAGCAAGGTATGGGTGTGAGCGTCTTTCTCACCATTTTCTACATAATGAACAGTTATCATTACAAACTCTTGATTTTTCCTAAAAAAACAACCATCCGCTACCGATCTAGAAGATCAATTCGTTGATTTCGATTGATTAATTAATTTATGTACCACGAGCAGAAATATTCATAAGTTGTTCTCGCTAAAACTATTGATAAATTATTTTTCGTTCATCGATTTTCTACGATAAAAACTATGATCACAATCATTCAACAAAGAGAAAAATAATTACGATGTCTGATTGTCATGATTTAACAAAACATTTGTAATTACAAAAATAATATTGACCTACATTGTTAACCGTTGAAACTTACATAATGAGATTTTTTTTACAAATAATTCCTTCATTTAATACTATTGAGTATGACGAACGATGGTATAAAATCGCTTTTTCAACAAAACAACATTATTAACAGCAATAGAAACGTTGTTATTTTATATAAGTTAATAGACTTTTAGTACAAAATATTAACAGTGTGTCATAAGACAACCATTATCAGTCATTATTGATTAATGTTTCGATAAACGAAAAGTGATGTTGATTGAATTGGACATTTTTACGTCAAATATTAAAATCGAATCAATAATTGACCTTCAAGAAAAGAGAGCTCTATACATGTTATCTTCAACAAACAGTTTTATATGATTTATTCTAATGAAACAAGTGAATCTAATTTTGAAAATAGACTTTCTATAGTCGTAAAACTTGAATTCTTAGAAATATGGTAGCATATGACATCGAAATTTTCTATAGTGTTAATTCATGAACCGTACATTTGTGTATATTCCAGAAGAAAAAGCAGGATAATTTAATTATATGAATAATAAGATTGACTAATTCAATATAGAAAAATAGAAAGAATTCATAATAATACTAGACAGTCTAATTTCTTAAGAATAAGAATTACGGTTGTTTATCAACTATGAACTTGTTATTGAAAATACTTAGAAGAGTTCTTAGTGTAAATGACCCTATTATTTAAAATATAATAAAAAAATATAAACTCTACGTAGTATTTTATAGAAAAACTTGATATAAAATAATAGATAACAGTAGAAAACATATAATAGAAAACATTGGTGCCCATTCAAGTTGAAATTTTCCTTGTTGTTTATTGCGTCCAGCACATAGAGGATATTCGACTCTATAAAATGAAAATAAAAAACTCTAGGATATGAAATAATATATGTTTTTACCTTTCATTTTGTGTTAAGATGGCATCTCGAGCACCTTCCCATTGATTTGGACCTTGCAAACGATATCGATAAGGTGTAAACGCTCCCGATAATAAACTCCAACCAAGTTTAAAATCATTCAATAAAAACTTGACTAGAAAATGGAAAGATTTTCAATATTGCACAAATTTTATTTTTCGATCTTACATATACCTGGTCGACAACCAACTTGATCAGCTATTTCATCACAATAATCTACATAATCAACTTCAACAGTATGTCGAGGTGATGAAACATATCTTTCCGCCATTCGATGAATTTTCTCATCGATATCTTCATCCATCATGAGACGTGATGGCAGTTTTAATTCGCCTTTAAATACTCGAATAGCCCAACGTGCTTGAAGTTCTGTTATAGGATTAATTGCACCTAATGGTTGAATAAGACCCATAACAGCAAGTGTTGGATGAGTCATATGAGATGGCCAAACATATTTATAAAGTCGAATCTATTAAAAGATATAAAGAATTTTGAATATATTAAATTTTTCTTCATGTTAATACTTTGTTGTCTTGAACAGTAAGAATTTTTTCATCTAAATATGGAAATACAATACTAAAACCTGTTGCCATAAGTATACAATCGACATGATCAATTTTTGTACCATCAGTAAATATGACACCATGACCATCAGCTGTAAATTCTTTTATATTTGGTTTAACTATTACAGCACCACATATGATTCGATTAGGTAAATCATCATTTAAACATGTATGTTGTTCTAAAGAAAACAAAATTTTTAAGTTTATTAAGATACAACACAAAAGAATATTTCAATAACATACGTAAAGGACGATGATTAGGTTTAAGATTATATAATTCATGATTAAATCTTTTACTTAATTCTCTTTCCAACATCCAATTTGTTAACGATGGAAAATAATTCTGAATTGCTGCAGTCATTGAATTTGTTGCATACATATCTAATGGCCAACCATTAGGTCCAACACGATTCAAAACCCATGTACCACGGCGAGTACTTAGATAAACCTGTTTGGCAAAACGACCTAATTCTACAACCATATCTGCTCCAGAATTGCCAATACCAATAACAACTACAGTTTTATCTTCAAAACCATGAGGAGTTTTATATTGCCAACTATGTAATTTTTGACCTAATAATTAATTCTTATAAAAATCTGATATTTAAATTTAAATATTTTACCTTTAAAATTATCTAAGCCCGGAAAATCAACCCATCTTGGATGTGCATGATGTCCAGTTGCTAACATAACTGTATCATATTTTTCGCATATTTCATTAGATTCCTCTTCTGCATCAACACTGAATATCATCCAACAACCTGTTTGTTCATAATCAACAGCAGGTTGAATACGAGTAACACGTCGTCGAAAACGAATATAGCCTTTTAAATTAAATTTTTCTGCATACATTCGAAAATATGATAATAATTTCGTATTATGCATATAATTTGGATATTCAATTGGTGGTGGATAATCACTAAATGCCATAAATTCTTTCGATGTATTAATTACTGTAGATTTCATAACGCTTGCTTTGCCATCTACTGCATTGGCATCATAATTCCAAAGTCCACCAATATCATTAGTCATTTCATAACATACTGGTGTTAGACCACCATCCAAACAACATTTAATACAAATTAAACCGCTTACACCACCACCAATAATAGCTACTGTTTTCATACTAAAACAATTCAATAAATACGTAGTTATTCTAACTACTGGGAAAAAATCATTATTACGTATATATAAATCAAGTATAATGTATTAGTTCGTTTTACTTCGTTTTTATAATAAAAATTCACCTACTTTACCTTTTTCTTATGATAATAAAAATCAAAAAAATCTTTCTTATGCTTATATTATCAGCTACTACTTTCTAAAGAACGAAAAATGTGTATGCACGATACACTGGATGACTCATCAATAGTGCACGAATAGGACAATTAAATACCTGCATTTTAGTTTGATCAGTCCGCAATAGAGATATTTAAAATTTTTATTAGTATGTTATTTATAGACGACCTTGTATACGCGCACTTCCGTATCGTTCCTTTTTATTAGTCATAAATACGCGATTACAATCGATCTTTTCTCTTCGATTACATTATATAATAAAAACAAGTTGTCGTTTCTTTATATTATCAATTTTTATTACGAGATAAAATATTTTTAGTATTCGAAGAAGGATTAGTCTGTAATTTAGTTAGACACATTTGAAGTTGTTCAATAATATCTTTTAATTTCTTTTCAAGTTGATCATTGGCTGAATCATTTTGAGTAGTTAATGATGTATCAAGACGTTGCAATGTTTCTAATCGCGCAAGAAATTTATTAATAAGCCAATATGTCTGTTCAACTGTAGTTTCATTCGTTGATTTGGTACCTAAATAATTATAATACAAAATTATCTAATCCGATAGCATAAAAATAAGGTTTGATCATTAAATTCTATAAAAACACTAAGATTTATATTATCTTTCTAACCGTATTGTTCTGCTTGTTCTGCCAATTGTTCAAGTTGAAATAATTTAAAAATTTTATCATCTGATGACATTATATCAATATCTTCCATCATTTGAGAGAATGTAGGTGGAGATGGTAACTCAAGTTTATTTTTCGTAGCCATATTAAAAAGAGATTCGAACTAAATCTACGAATTAAAAACAAATAAACAATAATATCGAAATCGTTCTTTCTTCATAATCAGTTTTAACAATATTTTTATTTTTTATGAAACAAAACAAAAAAACATACACAAAAAACGGATGTTTTTCAAAACAATTAAAATTTATTTTTTTTCTTTTTTGGCTTCTTTTTTGTAACATCAAAATGACTTTCGATTTCTACATCTTTTCGTTTATTCAATGTTCTAAATAATAGAAAAAAAATTTATCTACTTTTTCATAAAATAAAAATAAAATTAAACAAACCTTGGTATAGAAATAATACCAGGATCATTTATACTTTTTAATTCTTCTTTCCACATTTCTTCACTACCATTGACTGCATATTTGGATAATTGTCTATCATGCATTATTCGATCAATTTCTTCGGATTGTTGATTACGAATTGTTGCACCAAGTTCATTCTAATAAGAAAATTTTAGAAATATATATTCACAAGTAACGCTCAGCTCTTTCTCGTAGAAATGCATCCTCTTTACGTTTACGGAAAAATAGATTTTCCATGTTTTTTTGACCTCCCCCTCCCTCACGATGGTCACCCAACAGATCTCAGATTCGAAATACCTCTAGAAATATCTTTTTCGAAAAATCGATTTCCGATGTTTTTTTTGACCCTGCAGACAGACAATTTATGTTTACTGGACTCTTCTGTATGAGAAACAGAATAAAAAAGAACATACCAATTCTTGTCGAAGTGATTTATCTAATGGTTGCATATTAACTGCATCTAATGAATTAACAAATGTTTTTCCTATTTCAGTTTCTTGTGTTGAATTTATTAACTAAAATAAAATAATTGATTTATATTTTTTGACTAAAGGAAATTCATACATCAATAATTTTCTTAATGAGTTTATTGAATAGAGCTAATAATTGTGATTGTGGTAGATTAAGTTCTTTTTCAAGTTGTTCGATTGTTTTATATTGAAGACCAATACCAGCAATTAATGCCATTTGAATAACAGTTAATTGTATAGGTAGACGATTTAAATAAAATAATCGAGCAAGAGTTGGTATAAGATCAAGTATTAAATGATAATCAACTAAATTTCGTGTATAAGATTCTAAACGACGAAGATCATAATCAGTAAAATTTTGTTCAATTAATGAAGCAGTAAATTGTTCTTTTATTTCAGGAAAAACACCTTGTTGAATTAAATTAAGTACCATGCCTGGTGTAAACATTCGAAATTGATAACCAAATAATGAAATTATACGACGACGAAAATCTTGATAATATGAAAATAACCATGGTGCTTGATCAGCTGCATGAATTGTTTTAAGCATTATACAGGAATATTCACCTGTAAGATCAGATGCTGTTTGACGTAAATATATGGGTAAAAATTGATTTTTCTTCCAAAATTTTAATAAATCTGATGAAAGACCATAGGATACACCGAGATAATCAATGGCATGTGTTAAACGACGTTCACTTAGTTTTTGTAATAATGGTGGAAGACCTTGTCGAGGTCGAAGTTCTTCTTTAAGTAATGGTAAATCATCATCGTCGATTATTTCAACTTGATCAGCTGTTGGTGATGATGGTGACTAAAAGAAATTATTCTAAATGATGAAGTTTTATTTTTCATTTTAAATATCTACCTTTTGTTTATCAAATTCATCGAGATTAATAATACGTCCTTGAAAATATTTTTCTAATAATTGTATTGCTCTTGTTCCATAACCCATTCGTTGATAATCAGGATGTGTTGCTAAACGAATAATTCTTACACCAGACATTTTTCCAAATGTATAATCTTGATAAGTTTGTGCAATAGTCCATGGAATAAGATCACCTGAATTTCGTTGACCATGTGTTAATTGACGTGCAACAGTTTCTTTTGATAAATCACCTTCATAACAAACTTGAATAGCACATAAAATTTCAGGTAATTGATTTGAATCAACAATTGGACCAAGTAAACAATAAATATCATGACCTGGAGCATCCGATAACATTTGAAGATCATTTGGTGAATTTTTATAATGTGATGAAACAAACAAATACATTAAACGACGTAAAAATAATTCCGATGATTCATTATAAGAAAATAATGTATCACGTTCAATACAATAAAGTGAACAAGAATCAAGTGATGGACATGAACCACGACTTGCTTTACTAAAAATGAAATCGGTTTTATTAAATTATATAAATAAAATAATTACTGTGATTTTGATGGATCTTGACAACAATCAAGACAAAGAAGATTATTAAGCCAGAATTCAATAGGATCATCAATACCATATCGAATAGGTTCATTTAATTCCAATTCACTTAATGTACGATTATTTGTTGTTGATTTTGTTGCAGTTGTTAAAATCGCACTTTGTTGTCGTAATTGTTCAAGAAGTTTTAATGAAAGTGATCGTCCAGTACCTTCATATCCATTAATAGTTGATGAAAGAAATACTAAATAATTTGCACCAGTTAAAAATTGTTTAACAAGTGGAAGAGGTATTGCTGCTGCTTCATCAATTATCAATAATTCACATTGACTAAGACGTGATGATTCATGTGGTTGAATATACTAGAAAAACAAAAAACACACTATATAACCAAAATGTTTCATGATTAGTAAATTAATATATTGAACGAACTTTCTCTCTAATGGACAAATAACGCTCGTCTGGAGACTCGCTGAGCTCTTTCTCGTAGAACCGATATGCCTTCGCTACCAGTAAACTATTTAGTCTAACAATCTCAAAAACTAACATCAGATTCGAAGTTCCTGCATCGAAAAAAATTCGATTTTCGATGTTTTTTTGACCCTGCGGACACACAATCAAGAAATCAGACAATTTATGTTTACTGGACTCTTCTGTACGAGAAAGAGAATAAAGATGCAAAAGAAATTGAATAGAAGAATATTCAACATACTACAAATTGCATGTCGTGAAATTTCTTTCAACTTATGAATGATTTTATGTGTTATTTAGAAAAAAATATACTTGAATAATTTGTCGATGTTGTTTAGGTCGATGAATTGTTAATTGAATGATAATTTTTTCTTTATGATCATTGGATGAATATTGAATATCATAATCAATATGATCTTGATAATCAAGTGCATTAAAACCTTTTAAAATAAATTCAAATAAAATTTTTAAATTCTCTGGTGCTGGTGAAGTAACATAAATATTCGAATATCTAAATAAAAATATGTATATTTATTTTGAAAGAATATTTTTTCTTATACCCAAATGCAATCGCTCCGGCAATAGCTAAACCAAGTGAAGCAGATTTTCCTCGTCCACGTGGAGCAGTTATAGAACATGTATGTCGAAATGCTTTATCAGTAATTGAATCAAGTAATTTTAATAAAACTTTTCCTTGATCTAATGTTTTACAACAGTCAATTAAATGTCCAATTGGTTGTGTATCTTTTAATGAAAAACATAATTCTTTTAATTCAATTTGTTCACGTGTTAAACTATTTTCTTCTGTTTTAGCTGGTATAGGTTCAATAGTTAAACTTGAATTTGATGAACATGGTAATATATTAAG